GAGCTGAACGTTTAGATTTATGAGAAAGAGCTGAACGTTTAGATTTAGGATTTAATAAAATGGCACAAAAATTGTGGAACGAGAATCTCGCCGAAAATCGTACGGAAGACAAATGGATGACAATAGTGTGAATGCTTCATAAACGTTCACACTATTATTCCTGAAACATAATTTCTGATCGAAGATGATTGAACACTTGCACCTTTTTATTAATTAAACAATTCGTTAATTTTTACGTTGTGTGTATCTCTGCTGTTTAACGGAGCGTAGAGTTCATTATATCCCATCAATAACCGATGATATCCTCCTAAAGAGACGGGCACAAGACCCACCTGGTCCTCTGCCTCGAAGTCTGCGTTGTACTGCGCCATGTCCTCAGGCGGCCTCTTCTGGACCAGACTGCGGCACAGCAGCCAGATGGCCAGGCCGACCACGAACATGCCGATGTCCGGGATGAACACCCGGATCCCGTTCCCAGCGTCGGCGCCGATCACGCTGCAGACAAACAGAAAACAGAGGCACGGCTGTCGAGTTGTATTATAATACATCAAAATGTGTTTTTATAATTGTTCAAAGGTGAAGAGCTGACGACGTGTTTACCTGTGTCGATGCGTGTGCTCATCTGTGTGTCTGTTAGCAAAATATCTCACGAACAACTGGATGGATTTTAATGAAACTCTCAGATAGTGATCATTAGATGTGCATCTATAGCTGTTAAACTTTTGGAGTCAACTCCTTTCAAGATGGCTGCCACAGCTAAGTGAACTTACCAAGCACCTAAATGGCTACAACTCTGTTAATTTTACAGATACTGAGCTAAAGTTTGGTGTGGTAGTAGCTGAGGATCATTCGCAGCACATATTCCAAGCTCTAACTGATCACATGAGATTTGCTTTTAAAACTTTGCTTTTACCTATTGAAACATCTGCATCTGTCTGTTAGCAAAATATCTCAAGAACTGCTGAGCAGAGTTTAGTGAAACTCTCAGAAGGTAATAATTGAATATACAGCTACAACTTATTTATATCTGGGGTCAACCCCATTCAAGATGGCTGCTACAGCTAACTGACCTTATAAACACATAAATGTCCTTCAACTTGGTCTTTTTCACTGAACCAACTTTGGTAGGGTAGTAGCTGAGAGTCATCCCCAACATGTTTTCACATGAGAGTGTAAATAAGGTCATTTAAAAAGCTCGACTAAAACGGCTACAACTCGTTTCTCGTGAAATTAATTTAAAACGGGCATAAAAGGTGGCGGGCGACATGCATTCCTTCATGTAACGCTAAGCTTTTATTTAACTTATTTCTGGAAAAATTGGCTCATACAGACGGACATTTTTCGTCTTATAATAAATATTACATCTCTCAGAAAACAGAGCCCGTTCGCACGAGTCCATGGGAATCTGGAGGGATTTTTCCGGAGCTCAATTGTTTTTTTTTATTACGTGTTGCGTTTTATATGAAGTCCCACCCTCTGTAAAACATCGGGCTTTTAAATGTGCCGCAATTTACAAGTGGGTTCAGTTCCACTCAAACAAACAAAACAAAAAAAAAAACATGAGAAAGTGAGCTATTAAATAACAAAACAAAAAAAAAACATGTTTACTTCTTTGAAATTGCCTAATAAGGTCGCTGGAACACGCAGCTTTCATATCACCTTCTGTGGAAGTGTCTGTACTGTTAGCAAAATATCTCATGAGTAACTTGAGAAAGTCAATGACACAACGTGCGTCTCATGATTAACTTTTAGAGTCAACTTGAATCAAGATGGCTGCCACTCAGTCCCTTCTCCAGATATTTATTTATTTATTTATTTATTTAAACTGCTCCCTTCTTCAGGGTCTCCACAGTGAACTAACTCGCACGAAGACTTGGCGATTGTTTTTACGGCAGATGTCCTTCCTGATGCTACCACAGCCCTCTGTGTGGAGCAGGGAGCTGCCATCTAGGGTGCTCGGGGGAGCAGATGGTGGGGGTTAAGGGCCTTGCTCAAGGGCTCAGGGTGGGGTAAATGAGGGTGGAGGCAGGCGTGGGTGTTTCTCCTTTCCCACCCACACTTTGATGTTATCAGTCCAGGGGATTGAACCAGTGACCTTCAGATCAGAGGCTCACCTTCAGTAGCCTCTGCACCACCACTGCTGAGATAAAATTTGACAAAGTTCTGATTCACAAAATCTTTTAAAATCATTAATAAAGACTTTTTTTTTTTTCTAAACAAACATTTAGGTATTTCTGTGAGCAAATAACACTTTCGCAACATCTGCTGTTTAATTTGGCAGCTCACTGTCAGTCACGATAAAATAATAAGAATAAGAATGAATAATAAAAATATGCACAGCTTCGTCCTGAAAGGCGTTTAAACCCTCGTACGATCCACGGCGATGCCTTCATGCCGCCCGAGGACACGTTTTATGAGGCGTCATGATTGTGCGCACAATTACAGCGGATAAAAATTGTCCTTGAAATGACTAACAGGTTTTGAAAACGCTCTTTTAATCATCCGAACCCGTTTCCATTTCAGTTATACAGCTAATCATGCTGCTTCCTGTGTTTGGCCACCAAAGTCCCCCCCCCCCCCCCCACCACCACCACCACCACCACCACCACAGTGAAGTGTAATTAAACATCGTAATTAAACGTCTCCTTCAGGAGCAGCAGCAGCGACGCTGTGGTTGTGACTATAAGGCAAACGGTCATTTTGAACCTCACGTTCAGGTTGAAACTTCAGTTTTAGCGTATCTCACCGTTTCTTTTTATACTTTATATTTTTGCTATTGTTGGGTGCAAGTGGGACCTGGTGTACACAATTTCATTACACCTCATGTACCACATGTGACGCGAATGACAATAAAGAACCTTGAACTTGGACTTGAAAACGGAAGGGCTGATCATGGTGGTGGGAAACACACTTAAAGAGCAACTAATCTCATCTGAGGGCGTCGGTTTAAATCCCTCAAACCAGGCTGAGCCACAACTTAAACACTCGCACTTCTCTCTTACGTGTCAAATCAGAGAATTAGATTAGGGATGCACGGTATTATCGGCATGGTATCGGTATCGGCTGATATTAACATTAAATTTCAACATCGGCCATTCCATTAAAATAATTTGCCGATTTAAAAGGCACTGTTTTTGCCTGTAGCGGCAGCACAACGTGATGGCGTTGCAGCGGCAACGCAACGCGGTCACGTGCGCCTACCCGAGCTCACGGTGGAGAGGAAAATTCAAAATGTCGGGGGTTTTATTTTTCGTTGGTGAGGATGTCAGATTCCGAAGATTTATGGACTACGTTGAGCCTCACTACGTCGTCCGTGGTCGGAGATATTTTTCCGACGTAACGTTACCCGAGCTACCAGCCGTCATTTCCAACATCATTGAGAAGCTAATAGTTGATAGCACGACTTGTTGGGTGAGTTTTACCACAGACGTTCGGACGTCGTGTTAGCCCCGTTAGCATGATTAGTCTTACAGCACAATGGATAGACAAAAACTTTGAACTTAAAAAGTCTGTCCTTCATGCACAGGAGTGCAGAGGATCCACACTGCAGCTAGGAACACGGAACAAGCCTCCACAAGTGAGACAGCATCGCAGGTGACTAATGCTAATAAATAACATTTAACTCTTCATTTCATTTAAGTCAAAGTGCTATGCATATCAAATGGCTGTATATATGTCACCAGCTCTTACAGCTGTTGCACAATTTTTGTAGGTCCAGGGGAACGCGCTCACAAGAGAAGAACCTGACAAGTGGTTTAACGACAAAATATATTTTGTTAGCAAAGAATAGAGTCCTAACGTTTGTTAAACATCTGTTTTTACAACAAATAAAAAAAACATCAAAATTGTGCTTTGACAATCGATAAAACTAAAAAAATGTTGTCAATGCGAAAGAAGAAAGAGGGGCAGGTGTCGCTCTCGCTTTGAGTTTATACTCTTTGTTGCATGTGTGCTGTGGGTGAAATGCGTCCAGAGCGGAGGACTTGTTAGCAAAGAATAGAGTCCTAACGTTTGTTAAACATCACTTCTGAGCATAAAAAAAGAATACACAAAAATTGTGCTTTGACAAACTAAACAACAAAACAATTTGTTAAAGCGAAAGAGGAGGAGGGGCAGGTAACGCTTTCGCTTTGAGGTTACTCTGCTGCATGCGTGCTGTGGGTGACGAGCGTCACCTGCTGTTTCTCAGCAGCAGGGGGAAGTGACACAGTTCGTGCATGACTCCCCAAACGACAAGACAGCCATATTTCTTCAAAACTTTATTATCTGAGAGTTGCCGGATTTTAGCAAACAGTTGCCGAACCCACCCTGACAAAATGAAAATGGTGCAAAAAATAAAAACACTTACTACCTGCCGCAAAATGTTCTCCGGGGTTACATGCGCCACTCCCTGGCATTGCTCTGGGCCCCCGCAGGGGGGCGCGCCTCACCACTTGAGAAGGACTGCCTTGGATGGTTTCTGGGGCCCGCCCTCTCCCCCATTGACTCCTCTGAGGCAGCCATAGCCAAAGTGGTTCAAAACATCAAAGTTCATGCTCAATAATCCAGGTAAAAAATCCAACAAACTTCAGTCAGGTCATATGGGCGGTTTCTTATGTTTTGAGACATTTAGTCTTTCATCCAAAGGACTTCATCAGTCCATGTCTTTGAAGTCCTTTGGATGAAGGATAAAACATCTCAACAAAAAAAGAAAAGAAGTCCTTTGGATAAAGGATGAAACGTCTCAACAACAAATAAAAAATACATTTGTACTGATGAAGTCCTTTGGTTGAAGGACGTAACGTTTCAACAAAAACAAGAAAATAAATGAAGTCCTTTGGATAAAGGACAAAACGTCTAAACAAAAAAGAAATGAGGTCATTTGGATAAAGGATAAAACATCTCAACAACAAATAAAGAAATTTGTACTGATGAAGTCCTTTGGTTGAAGGACATAACGTTTCATCGAAAACAAGAAAATAAATGAAGTCCTTTGGATGAAGGACAAAACGTCTAAACAAAAAAGAAATGAAGTTCTTTGGATAAAGGACAAAACATCTCAACAACAAATAAAAAAAGAAACTCGTACTGATGAAGTCCTTTGGCTGAAGGATGAAATGTCTCAACAAAAACAAGAAACTGTTCAGATGACCTAAGTGAACTTTGTTGGACCAATAAAGAGACATTAAAATATGCTGCATGTCATATAAATATATATTAAATATTAAAACTAGTATAGCTTAATTCTGAGGAAGCTGTATATCTGCAGACTCCTCCACGTGTTCCCTGAGCTTCATTTTCTTCTGCTCAGGCAGTAAAGTGCAGCGACTGCAGCAGTAAATATTGTATATGTGCTCAACATATGATCCCCGACACAGGCATGTAAATGCATCAAATGTTTATGGCCCCCACTTCCTCCACTTACTGTCAGAGTAGTGGGATAAAAAAGACGCGGCTCGGTTCGAGCATTCCCGCACTTACGGATCGCGTCTAATACAATCACGAGGAGGTGTGGAGGCCGACGCAGCAACAGCCTTGAAAAATAGAGCAATCAGGCTGTCGAGAGGCGTAACTGGGTTTAGCGTTCATCACGGGACGGGTTAGGAGCCGGTCAGGTCAGGAGTGGTGGTTAATGGTGTTGGAGGGTGGCTGTGTTTAGGATATTCTCTCAGCTGATGCTGGCTCTCACTTACAAACACTATAAAATGTGCACAAATTATAGGTTCCAGGTAAAAATCCTGTTTGTTTTTTTGTATTCCAGATTTAAAAAGTGCACAGTCACTAAAATCTCAACAAGATCCAGGAAAAACGTTAGAGTTGACAAGCTGATCAGGCGAAATGAAAGTAGCATTCCTAGAAGGATCGCGTGTCCCCCGCTGCGTTGCTGACAAAGTTTTACCAAAAACCTTGAACAACTCGTTAACACTTGGAGTATGTAATGAAGACAACTCTCAGCTACTACCACACCAAGATTTAGCTTAATATCTGCAAAACTGACTGAGTTGTAGACGTTTTTGTGTCTGGTAAAGTCAGTCCGCTGTGGCAGCCATCTTGAATCAGGCTGACTCGTGCATCCAGTGAATACGTTCTAAGAGTTTTATTAAAATGAGATGTTTTACTAACAGATAAATCTATGTGAATACACAGGACGTTACATGATCACCCTCCTTGTGCAGCAGCGGTGGATAATTATTTACTTCCAGACAAGAAGGTATTTAACCGAGCTGACTATTTTCAAGTCTTGTCAAAAATGAGTAAAAATCACCACATTTAACGTGTTTTTATGCGAGTATTTATTATGATAAGGAAGATTGTTAGATTTTATTATTCAATGTAAAAAACAATCAAGACTTTCAGATCATATTTAAAAATAGTTCTATTAGTTCTAAGAGAAGAAAAATATTTCAAGTAAAGAAAGTTTAAAGTCACGCCTTGAATAGTTAATTTTTTGAAAATACTCTCCCTTGATGTTAAAATATTAAATTCTTATAACATGTTTAGGAGTAACCAGATATTCCATGTTTAAAAAAAAAAAAACGCTCATGTGGCACTGTGACAAAAAAGTGGGCGGGGCTTAACGTCCAGCGTCCCAGTGAGCAGACTCTGGTTACAATAATTCAACATGACAGCAACAGTTCCTGCTGGCTTCAACACTTGGTCTATCTGTACGACATGTCTGTGATACCTTATCAGATACTTTCAATTTATAGATATTTATATAGAAATAATTATAAATGAGGCAGAATTCTTGACTGTTTGTAAATAAACATAAGTGTCTGGGAAATACTATAAGAATTGTAATTTACTGTTTTTATGCTCCGATATAACACAAAAAACATATATTGTCATATAAATTCTCCAAAAACCCTTAATGTATGCTTCTAGAATCTAAGGTAAAATACTATATAAATTACTTCATAAATATATTTATAATATTTACTGTTTTACCTCTCAAATCCAATTTGTCGGATGGATTTCTCCCATGACGTACCTGGACAGAAACAACAACAACAAAAAAGGTGGAATAAATCAGCAACAATGTTATTTTTTTTCCTTTTAAAAACGTGTTTTTAAATCAAAAACAATTTTAGATAAAACACATTAAACGAGTGTCAGCTGTATTCAGAGTCTCAGTATTCACAGGCGACTTGTTCATCGTTTATTGTTTTTAAAGGAGAGAACATCCATTCGTCCAAGCTTTTATGAAATTCTGAACTAATGAACCGTTTAAACAGATCCCTTTCTGAGTGAATGTATACAACAATGTTTCTGCATTTACAGATCCTACAAACTAAATAAAAAGCCTTTGAGGCTGCGTTTCCACTTATTTCAGTGCCACTTCTTCTGACAGACTTCCAGGTATTCAGCCTGCCTTGAAAAGGACAAAGAAGAATTAATTGTTCTTTATTCTCCAACCAGAAAGAACCGAACAATCAGTCTGAAGGCTTTGTCGGGCCAAAGAACGACTAATTAGGTGCTAAACTTCACAGAAAAATGTTGTTTTTTTTCCTTCTTTACAAAGTGCAGCGAGGGGAAAGTTGGTGTTAAATACGATTTGGCACCGACAGCAGACAAAAGCCTCCATCTGACAGACTTTATCTACCGTTTCACCTGCAGGCGACTTACAGCTACTTTTGTTAAACTGTGCAGGAAATCTTCACCTTCAGAGCGGACAGAGAGAATAAAGGCTCAAAGCATTTAAAGACAATAAAGGCTAAAGCTTAGATGGCTAAACCATGACGGTAAAAAACTAAGAAAGAAAAAAGTTTTTTTTGTTTACGCTGAAACTTAACATTTGAGAGAACAAATTTATATATTTTGCTAAGGATCCGAATAAAAAGTCTGACATGCTTTAGTCAAAAAAATAAAAAAATTATACAGTAGTCCCTCGTTTATCGCGGGGGATCCGTACCCTGAAGCCCCGCAATAAGTGAAAAACCATGAAGTGGGAATAGCAATACTTATTTTACTAGAGACAGAGAGAGAAAGAGACAGAGAGAGAAAGAGACAGAGAGAGAAAGAGACAGAGAGAGAAAGAGACAGAGAGAGAAAGAGACAGAGAGAGAAAGAGACAGAGAGAGAAAGAGACAGAGAGAGAAAGAGACAGAGAGAGAAAGAGACAGAGAGAGAAAGAGACAGAGAGAGAAAGAGACAGAGAGAGAAAGAGACAGA